TCTTGCTGAGTCTTTAGGGTTTTCTAAGTATACTATCATGTCATCAGCATAGAGGGATAATTTTACCTCCTCGTTGCCTATTTGGATACCTTTTGTTCCCTTCTCTTGTCTTATTGCTATTGCTAAGACTTCCAAAACAATATTGAATAAAAGAGGTGATAGTGGGCATCCTTGCCTGGAGGAACCAAAATTTGACCTTGAGTCTGTCCCTCCTGAATTTCAAAACCATCTCAGGAACAGGTTTGAGGCCTTGAACACTAATGAATGAAGACCAAATGAGCTTTGGGATGATAAATAAAATATCATCTAGGAAGAATGCAAAAGGTCATTACAAAGACAGGAGGAAGAAAATTGGATGTCAGAAGAAACTCTGAATATTGTACTAGAGCACAGAGATGTAAAAGCAAAGGGAAGAAAACAAGATATTAAAGAGTTGAACAGAAGATTCCAAAGGGCAGCGCAGAAAGAAAGTATTACAATGAAATATGCAAAGACCTGGAGTCAGAAAATCAAAGGGGCCAAACTCGCTTAGTACTTCTTAAGCTGAAGGAACTGAAGAACAAATTCAAGCCTTGAGTTGCAATACTTAAGGATAATTGGAGCAGAATATTAAATTATCCAAGAAGCATTAAAAGAAGATGGAAAGAATATACAGAGTCATTGTACCAAAAGGAGTTGGTGGGCACAGAAGAATTTCATGAAATAATGTGTTAGCAAGAGCCTGTGGTAATGAAGAAGTTCAAGCTGCTCTGAAAGAATTGACAAAAAACAAGGCCCCAGGAACTGACTGCATACCAATTGACCTTTTTCAACAAACAGACATTGCCCTGAATGTGTTCACCAACTTGTGCCAAGAAATCTGGAGAACAGCCACCTAGCCAACTGACTGGAAGAGATCTATATTTGTTCCCACTCCAAAGAAAGGTGACCCAACACAGTGCAGAAATGATCAAACAATATCATTGATTCCACATGCAAGCAAGATTCTGCTGAAGATTATCCAAAAACGTCTAGAAGAGTACATCAGTGTAGAACTGCCTGAAGTACACGCTGGGTTTAGAAGAGGCTGTGGTACCCTAGTACATTATTGCTAATGTTAGATGGATCTTGGCTAAAAGCAGAGAATACCAGAAGAAGGTCCATCTGCGTTTCATTGATTATGCAGAGGCATTTGACTGTGTGGATCACAACAAACTGTCACTGACTCTGAGAAGAATGAGAATCTCAGAACACTCGATTGTGCTTATGCGAAGCCTATACTTGGACCAGGAGGTGGTTGTCAGAACAGAGCAAGGGAACACTGCATGGTTCAAAATTGGGAAGCGTGTATGCCAGAGATTTGTCCTATCTCCATACCTTTCCAATCTATATGTGAAACATTATCTGGGAGTCTAGGCTCTGAAGAGAAATGTGGCATTAGGATTGCAGGTAGATTCATCAACAATCTACATTATGCAGATAACACAGCCCTGCTTGCTGAAACTGAGGAGGACCTGAAATGCTTGCTGCAAGGACTACCCCCTTTAGTACGGATTGAAGCTCAACATCTAGAAAACAAAGATTCTTAACACTGGCTGATTGGTAGCATCATGATAGATGGTGAATAGATTGAGATTGTTGACAGCTTTAGTTTGCTTGGCTCCACAGTCAACACTCTTGGTACCAGCAGCCAGGAAATTAAAAGACGAATTGCATTGGGAAAGTCTGCTGTCAGAGACCTCTCCAAAGTACTGAAGAGCAACAGTGTCAGTCTCCAGCTGCTCCACAGAAGGATGGGCCATCTCCTCACATGCAATTAACTAATCCAGGCCATAGTCAGCACTTACTTGCTATGCATCAGAAAGCTGGACAATGATTAGGGATGATAGAAGGAGAAGTGATGCCTTTGAGCTGTGGTGCTGGAGAAGAGTATTGAACACACTATGTACTGATAGGAGAACAAACAAGTTCATTCTGAAGAGTATGAAGCCAGGCTTCTCTTTGGAGGCAAGGATTCTGAAGCTTCATCTGACATACTTTGTTCATGTTTCAAGGTGAGGCCAGTCTTTGGAGAGGGACGTCATTCTTGGGAGAGCACAAGAGAGGAAGACTCTTGATGAGATGTATTGATTCAGTCACTGGGGTAATGGGGATAGGTGTGTCAGAGACAATAAGATTGACACAGGATAGAGTGTTGCTATGAGTCCCAGGAGACCCGACAGCGCATGGTAGCAACAACATCACTATTACAGGGAGCTCTGGTGGCCTAGTGACAAGGGGCTGTGCTGCAATCCCAAAGACATGTGGTTTGGTACCACCAGCTGCTCCGCAGAAAGATGGACCATCTCCTTGCATGCAATTAACTACCTCCGAAAACCCACTGGAGGGTCTATTCCAACTCTACACAACAGCAGCAATTATTATAATAATAATAGCTATTACCAAGTGTTTTCGATCAGTGTACTAGGAATTTTTTTTTAATTTGTCTCTGATTCTCACAACTACCTTGCATATGTTACAGGAGAGAAAATTAAGACTGAGATGAAATAGCTTGGTGAATGGCACGCAGTGACTGTGAATGCCCTTCCTGTTGTAGAATTTTATTGTTCCAATATCCATAGGATTTTACTGTATCACTCTAGCATCTTCATCTTTCTCTGTCATTCTCTGCAGGATGATATGCATCTGGTGATAAGGAAGCAGCTGTCTAGCACAGTATTGAGATACAAATTTATCGGAATTATTGGTGCTGTCACCATGGCTGGTGTCATGGCAGCAAACAGGTAAGATCTAAAATTCTTCACCTCCAGGTCAGATAATCAAATCACAAACTTGAAGTGTTAAATTGCATGTGATGGTGTTGAGTATCGTCACGTTGGAACCAACTCACAGCTGACCCTCCAGCAGGTTTTCAGAGGCAGTAAATCACACAGGAAGAGACAGCCATCGTTCTTCCATGGAGCCGCAGGGAATTCAAGCCTCATACTTTTAGTTTGACAGCATAATTCCTTGCCATTTGGCCACCAGAACTCCCTTTATAATGCATAGACAGCATTGTTATTTCGAGAAAATTACAACCATAATAAATCAGCAAACTATACTCTTTTTGTCATGTGTAATCATTGTCATTACTGACTGATTACCAAAAGACTGAGTTCTAGAACTGTTCCACAAAAGGGGAATCCTGGTCCTTCTGGGATGTACTTTTCTACCACTTCTCGTATCTTGGGCACTAAACCGGACAGGCTTTCCTAATGCTGTGTTACTCTTAGCTGGGATGTCTCATTTGGTGCAAATCTTCCTTGTGGATTTTTACCCCTGCTAATGCAGTGGTAAAGCAGCTTGGCTCCTAACCAGAAGTCAGCAGTTCAAACCTACCAGCCTCACTGTTCCATGGGAGAACAATGTGATGTCAGCTTCCTTATAATTTATAGCCTTGGAAATCAGTTCCTCATTCTCAGTGAGTCAGAATGGATGTGTCATCAATGGAGTTGATTGATTTGTGATACTTTATTTTTAATTGTGTAAAATGATATATGCTAAATGTCTTTCTACCATCCTTTCATGAGACAAATTTATCATTTAGGAAGGCATCAGATTTGGGGCTTGGTAAAATATTGCTATTGCCATTTCAGTGCTGGGTAAGTTCCCTCAGGAATCCCTGAGGCCTCAGGAAACGTCTTTCAAATCATCCACTACTGTCAAGTCAGTCTCAACTTATAGTGACGTTGCATTGGATTTCCCAGGTTGTAAATTCTTTTTTTCTTTTAAATGAAAAATGTTTTTTATATAAATTTTTTAAATTTTATTATTTTATGTCCATCTTTTCTCTTGTAGCTACTGGTAGAATTGAACTACCAGAGACACACAGCCTTCATTCTAAAAGCTTAGAACAATGCCTAGCACATAATAAGCAGTGAATAAGTATGGACACTTACTATTACTGATTTGTTGTTGTTTGCCATCAAGTTGGAATTCACTCATAGCTGACTCTTCAGTGGGTTTTCAGAGGCAGTAAATCACATGGGAGGAGAGCTGCTCCTTCATTGGAGCAGCTGGTAGATTTGAACCATGTGCTTTTGGGATTTCAATGCAGGTTTTTTTACCTCGAGGTCACCAGAGCTAAATTACTGATTTAGTGTGCTATTAAATATAACTCTCATTTATTCAAACCTGCATTTTGATGGGTTTGGGGTTTTTTTTTCCAAACCTACCTTAGGCCTGGTTTTAATTGTATTTGGTCAAACATTCTTCTAAGTGGAATAGCACTGGTCTGTCCATTTGCTGTACAGAGGTAACTTGTGGTTGCTATGATGCTAAACACTGACACTGATGTGTCAGATGTGATAATGGTTACCCATGGTGGACAGTGTTTGGTTGGAGCTACACAATTAAAACAAGCTTGGAAGCAGGAGTGGCATCCACTTCAGAAATAGCATGCCTCCAGAAACTCTATGAACTTGGAGAAATGATGAAAATTACACAAGTGTTCAGGTCTTTTTTTATAGGGTCATATGAGTCATCTACAACTCAAGGGTACTTAACATTTTGGGTGCTTTCAATAAATAGTACTTTGTACCTTCTTGTAATTTCATGTCCATCTCTAGCCATTTCCCCACTACTACCCCCTTACTTCCTCTTGGAAGCCAAAAAACCAGGATTCTTAGACTTACGACTAAATACTGTAAAATAGTGAGACTCAAACTCTTTATATTTTGAAGTGGCTCTTCCAGTGTGACCCAGAAGGAAGCAAAACTAAGCAGTGAGGATTGCACTCAGGTGAGTTCTTATGATCTGGTTGAGTATGCCTACAGGGAACTAAGGAACTGCTTCCCATCACAGACAGTGCACAAGAAGAGTACTGGTTTCTAAAAAATAACAGTTGCTTTTTTTTTTTTAGTCTGTTATATATATTTCTGTATCTCTCTAATAACCCTAGGAAAAGTACAGATGTCTAGAGAGAAAATTGGTGGGCTATGTTTAAAGAGTAGCTTGGCCAGATCACATGGCAATTAAGTGTAATTGGAGCTAGAAAACGGAAGATCTTGAGTGTTGAGCAAGACATTTTTATTCCATTCTTCAGTCAGTGTAGTCATCAAAAGTTTCTTAACATGAAAATGACATATTAAAACTTTGCTTTAGGAAAATTATATTGACTGTCTGTGGTGATGACTAGGAAATGGAGGAAGCTAGAAAAGGGCATTTTAGTGAGGAGGCCAAGGAAATCTTGGATAAGAAGTAAAAGCAGGGCAACAAACAGCAAATGCTGGCAGGGTGGTAGATGGGGACTCTTATTCACTGCTGGTGGGAGTGTAAAATGGAATAGCCACTATGAAAGGCAGTCTGGTGCTTTCTCAAAAAGTTGGAAACAGAAATATGATTTGACTCAGCAGTTCTACTACTGGGAATATACCCTAACGAAATCAGAGCCGCAACTCAAACAGATGGATGCATGCACACCCATGTTTCTTACTGCCTTATTCACAGTAGCAAAGAAATGGAAGCAACCCAAGTGCCCATAAATAAACAAATGGATGGGAAAACTGTGGTACATTCACACAGTGGAATATTATGTAGCACTGAAAAATAATGAATTCATAGAACATTATACAACATGGCGGAGCCTGGAGGATTTATAAATATCTCAGTCACAAGGACAAATACTGCATAACACGGCTATTATAAAATAGGACACCTGGATGAGTTGGAGGGAGAATATTCAAGGGTGGATAGATAATGAATTGGAACAGATAAGGGGAGGAACTATCTGAAAGGAATATATGATTAGGCATTATATGTATAACAACTATCTGGAACAAGTGAGTGGTACATTGCAAAGTGGACTCTAGGGGAGGGAGGGGGAGGAAAATGTGCCATAATCAATGAAAAAAAGAAGTAAAAAGCATTACCAGTGCCCTTGGAAAAGAAAGCCTTACTACCAAATGGGGTAAATGGAGTTTAGGGAGAGTTGACAGCTGTTAGAGAGGAAAAGCCTGACGTCATAGTTGCCAGCAGTCAAGAAAAATAATTTTATTTGGCACAGTGGGTAAAAAAGGAAGTAACAGGGACTAGCAGAAACAAGAGCCTGCAGTCAGCATAATTATCCCTTTCGTAGGGCCTTTATATGGGAAGCTTAAGCGTGGCCTGAGCCATTTCCTAGGTGGCTTTAAACTTATGTCACACTTGATATGCAGGTGAGTTGCATGTCCTGCTAACTAGGTACAGGCTTTTCTAGCACACGCTTTTCTCCTTAACACAGCTCAAGGACTGAGTAGGTTTTCTCTCCGGCTGCCACAGGTCACCTCCTTGCTGCAGCTGGTTCACTCCTGCTGTGAGCAGTCTCCTCAGGCCTCCACACTTTATTTTGATGAATTTGCCAACCTGATCCAAGGAGGAAAACTGGATCCAAAAACCCTGGTAGGTCACATCTCTCCACTTAAAGACCTGATGCCTAAAGGGCTGCTTTAGTACTCACTCTGCAAGCCTTTTCTCAGCTGTTGTGTGAAAATAGAGGGACTGAGTAACAGCAGGGCCTCAAATCTCACTTCAGCCAGTTCCCCAAGGTAGAGCCGTCCCCACATCCACAGCACAACCAACTCCTGTGAAGTTAGACGTGTCCCACAAGTCTCCACACCCTTGTCCCTCCTTGGGCTCTCACTGCTCTGCCCAGGGGTCTGCTGATATGTTGCAGTGGTCAAACAGAACTCATAGATTAGAAATTAACAGATTATAATTAAGATTGAAAACAGGATACAAGTCAGGGCAGCTTGTCAAGCCTACTCTGCCCTGAGACTACAGCTCTAAGTGTCACAAAGCTCTTGTCAATGATGATGTCTAACACTCAGAGGAGGTCCCAGCTCTGGCTCTGTGGGCAGTGTCCCCAGTCAGCTCTGCCTCATGCTGGCTTCTGGTTCACCGCTGCTGCTGCTTCTCTGGTGTCTTGATCCATCTTTCTAAGGAAGCTCTCTGGCCAGGAGCCTGAGAGTTCTGTTTGATGATGCTTTCTTCCTGGGAGTGAAGGTTAAACCAGTGGGGTGGCAAGATGGACCAATCCCATCATCAGTAGTCCATGTACCTTGTTTGCATGTTCTAATGCAAACAATGATTCACATCATTAGAGTTGTCCCATTGTGAAAACTCCATTTACAATACAGGTTGTTATAGATTTAATTGTATATTCCCCACCCACCTCACTTGTTATTTCCCATTGGCCCTGTGAACAACAGATCTGAACCTGGCCCTATCCTGTAACCTCCTTATCCCTGATAAACACTCATTGCTGAACCCATTGCTACAGTTACAGTGTCAGTCCATTTGATGTTGGAGTCTTCCTCTCTCTCTCCCTGAACCTCCACTTTTCAAAGCATGATGTCTTTTTTCCCAAAGACTGACTCCTCCTAACAAGATGCCCAAAGTATATGAGACGAAGTTTCATCATCCTTACTTCTAAGGAGCACCCTGGCTGCACTTTTTCCCGTACATATTTGTTGGTTCTTTTGGCAGTCCATTAAATGTTCATTACTCCTCCCCAACAAAGATATTCATGATTCTTGTCATCCTTATTCATTTGGATATCAACTTTCAGATGTATAAGAAGTTATTGAAAAGACCATGACTTGAATCATCACACCTTAATCTTTAAATGGGCATGGCTGTTCTTCAGCCCCATGGAGAGGTCTTAAATAGTAGATTTACCTAATCCAACACTTTCTTTTTTTTTCCCCATACTAATTTATTTTATTTGATTGCTGGTGGCAAGGAATTGTGGATCCAAGTCAGATCAAATTGTTAACGTCTCCAAGCTTCTCTTCATCTTTAGTGATGTTCCCTGTTAGCACAGTGCTTTTTGTTTTCTTGATATTTAGGTGAGTTAAGCCATACTGACGGCAATATAGTATTTACATGATGCAGATGATACAACCTTGTTTGAGGAAAGTAAGGAGGACTTGAAACTTTCACTTCCCTAAAGCCAGGTGCCCTGAATTTGGGCTCCTATCCTCTTCAACTATGAGACAACTCATTCTCTTTTATGGTGGTTTTTGTTCTTGTTTTTGTGTTTTGTTTTTAAACTGTTGATTTTTTTTTTTAATTTATTATTTTGTTTGTGTGTGTGTGTACCGTCATATTGGATCTGACTGGTACAGGAAGAGATGGCCCCTCCTTCTCCGGCAGAGAATCTGGTGGATTCAAACAGCATATCCCTGTGATTGCAGTGCAGCTTCTTGCCACTAGGCCATCAGACCTCCCTGTTTTGTTTTTTTAATAAAATGTACCTCTTATTCTGGGCTGTTGTCATGTATATCACCAGTCATATATTCCTTTTAGACCATTCTTTCCTTCATCTGTTCCAATGCAGTGTTCATTATCTCTCCACTCCTATCCTATTCTTCACCAAACCCCTGTGTCAGACTTGGTTTATAACAGTGGTACTATTCAGTATTTGTCCTTTTGTGACTGAGATATTTCACTCTGCATGATGTGCCCCAGGGTTCTCCATGTTATGTTACGTAACTTTTATGTATTCATTGTTTTTCGTTGCTTCGTAATACTCCGTTATGTGAATATACCCTCATCTTTCTATCCATTTGTTGATGGGCTCATTCCTCTTTGTTAAAGCTACCTACTGGTGGTGGGTTTTGTTCTAATTACAGTAGATGATTAAGACAGGAACCATTCTTCAAGCACTTCCAGATTCTAGTTGGGAAGCCTGTGCCCTCCCTCAGGGCACGCCTCTGAGCCTCTTTCCCATAATAACTAATGATAATGAAGAAGTTGGTGATGATGCAGAGAACCACTATGTGAAAAAAGCTCTTTTCATGCAATGTCTTGCTTCTCCTTTGTGATTATAAAGTATTCATTCTCCTTATCTCCTTTTTCAGACATGAGGAGACTGAGAAAAGTAAAAATAATCTTTCTAGGAACTCACAGCAATCCATTGTGGCTATGTCTATGTTGCTCTTTTTCTTTTTTGCCTCCTAAAGGAATGGGCTGGACAGACCATCCTTAGCAATTTCCAAGATGCCTTTGTGGTAGACCTCTGTGCCATTCCAGAAGGGTAAGTGCCATTCACCCACTGACCGGACTGGACTTGTATACACATTCCTCAGTGATTGCAGTAGCTAGTGTCTGCTTTTAATGCCCTGACTGTGACCACAGTCCAGTCCACTGAGTCACCCCTCCCTTCTCTGTCGCCTCGGCATCCCCAGGTCCAGGATTGCTGATACCCCACTTTTTCTCTCAAGCACCTTACCTTAATTCTCATCATAGTAAGTGGAAATGGTTTATTGTGTTTCTTGCTCAGTTGGGGATGTGGTTCTGGGTTCTTTCTACAGTGACTATCAGTTTCCTGTGAAAGCTCTCTACGGACTGGAAGAATACAGCAGTCAGGATGGAATTGCCATTAACCTGCTGCCACTGTTGTTCTCTCAGGACTTTGCAGAAGATGGGAGTAGGATGACTTCACACAAATCAGGCCAAAAGTCAGTGCTGTTTTTCTTTGCTAAAACCTTGCCATTTTCAGTGTCACAGGGACTCCCACAGTTCCCTTGGCTTCTTGGGTAGCTTTGTTATCCTGAACAGACTATCTGGAGAGGTTAGAGAGAATGGTAGATTCCTCATTTTTGTTTGAAGCCTAAGGTTAGAATTTATACCGCCTCATGACAGCCCACAAACCTTCTAAGTCTATTACCTTTCTGTCCTTTATCCATCGCCTTCTCTTACTCTCTCTCCTGTAGACATCCTGGCTACCTCTCATTTTTCTGACTTAGAATGTGGATACCTACCCTACCTGCCCACTGTCTCCCTCCATTTCAGTTCATGATGTATTTGTTTCTGTTGTCTCTTATTTTTCTTTTTTTTTCCTTTCAAATTGTCATTTGAGTAGAAGTTAACAACACATACTGTATTTTCATTCAACTATGCATGCAAATTTTGTGACTTTAATTATGATACGATACCTCCAACACAGTTGTTCTTTTCCCACTTGTTCTTTTTCTTCAGTGGAAATTCTGATAGTACGGTCAATAGGATGTTGCATTTCAAACCCTAAGGCAGTGCTGAATCCTTCAATGATAGAGCTTGAAAGTGGTGGGCCCCCTCCTCCTGTGCCATTAGAAACCTCAGAAAACCCACTGGAGAGTGAGCAATGAGTTCATGCCAACTTGACAATAATGAGTTCTGAGTATTTCTTTAGTAGTGTTTTGCTGTTCATCTCATTATTTTATAGTCTTGTCTTTTACCCATCTCTTTTCTAATTTTTTTCCTCCCCTTCCATTTGTTCTTAAAAGTAGATCATTTGTTTGGGGCTATACTCTAAATTGGACTTCTGGGAACAAAATAACTAACATGTCTGAAATGGACTCCTCTTTCCTAGATTGCTCTCTCCATTGTGCCTGGCTTCCTACTTCCGATTACTGAGACTGTGCATTGAGAGACAACATGACGGGAACTTGGAGGAGATTGATGGCTTACTAGGTATAAGATGAAGTCCTCAGATCTTCCTTCTTTTAACCTTTCTTTCACAGGAATGGGCAAGCCCGTCCATAGTTCCTGAGTTTGCTAATTGCACAGAGTTGTCTAGCAGCAGTAATAGAATTCCAAAGGCAAAACAGTGTGAACAGCATCCTTCATACTAACAAATCAATACCTATTACTATAGTTTTATGTCATTTCCTAGTCCTTGTTTTTATAAATTAGAGAGACTACTTAATTACATTTGTGACTACTGCATAAATAGGGGAGTATTTTTGAGTCAAAGTAGCAAAGAGGGTTAGCTCTAGGGGCAGCATCCAAGGACTTGCATTAAAGGGAGTTGGCAATGTTTATCCTTCTCTTTCAGACTGTCCTGTATTCCTCACTGACCTGGAACTTGGAGAGAAGCTGGAGTCCATGTCTGTTAGAAAGCATGAGTTCATATGTTCACTTATATTTCTTACTCTCAACTGGCTCCGAGAGGTAAATAGAGTTATTGGAACATTTCTGTAGTTTCTTTTGAAAATCATTTTCTTGGTTCATCTTTAAAAATTCCCCCTAGGCTAACGTGTGTGCTTCTCCAGCTATTATATCCCACAACTTCGATAGTACTTGTTTGTAGCCAACAAAACTAAAAACAACTTAGAATTCACTTACTATTTACTCCTCCAAAGCCTTTCTTTGTTTATTGCCTTATTCAAAAACCTTACAATTTCTCCATTGTGAGAATCCTGCTTGTCTTAGTATAGATATATGCTGTCACTATTTGTTCACATGAATTAATTAATTTGGTCCTCTCAATTATATAATGAAATATGTAAGACATGGAATTTCAGGGATAGAATTCAAAGCTACTAAAATTTATCAGACATGTTATTGTGTCATATGCTGTGCTGATTTTTCATTTATGCTATTTAGTTGATTGTTGTTGTTGTTAAGTGCCATCAAGTCATAGACAACTCATAGCAACCCTATGAACGATATTTAGTTGATACAACTACTATATTACCACTTTCTTGTTGAAAAAAGTAAAAGCTCACTCAAATTCCTTACTGATGATGTTGTAAGGAGTAACTTATTATGTGCCATTGAATTGAAACCGACTCATGGCTTCCCCTCTAGCAGATTTTCAGAGACTATATATTCAGATGGGAGAAGGCCTGTCTTTCTCTCACAGTACAGCTGGTGATTTGAACTGCCTGCTCTTGAGTTGGCCGTGCAACTCTTATCCATCAACTCACCCACTGAATCCACCATAAATTATCCCTAATGTATCACAGTGTTTTTGTCTATAAAACTCGTGTCCATGCACACCCATGTTTGTTGCGGCTTTGTTCACGATAGCAAGGAGTTGGAAACAACCTAAGTGCCCATCAACAAACGAATGGATAGAGAAGCTGTAGTATAGTCACACAATGGAATACTACGCTGCATTGAAAAACAAGGAACTCATGCAATATTATTCAAAATGGGTGACCCTGGAGGACATTATGCTGAATGAAGTATCTCAGTCACAAAAGGACAAATACTGCATGATGCCACTGTTGTAAAACTGGACTGGCATCGGGGTTGGGGGGAAACTGAGAAAGGTGAGTTCAATAATGTATTCTGCATTGAAACAGATGAGGGAGAAAAGTGTTTAAAAGGGATATGTGATTAGGTTATTTTTGTCATGACAGGAGTCCAGAGTGAAGGCTGCCGAGTAGAGTGGACCTGGGAGGAATGATTGTAAAACAATGAAAGAATTTTTCTTTTACTTTTCCAAGAGGGTAGTGTACTGGTGGGGGGGAGGTTAGAAGGGGAGAAAAGTGCAACAATGAATGAATGGAAATCCAAAGTCTCTGTAAATTTTCATTGAAATTAATAATAAATTTAAAAAAAAAAAAAAAAAGGAGGAAAAGAAAACTCGTGTCCAAAAAATGGTATAAACTAATTTAGGAGATGTCTTAAAGAACTCAATACTATGTTGAATCAACATAATTCCTAACAGTCAGCATCTATGAATATTATTTTCATAATTTAACTAATTTTTATTATAATTGACATTTTAATGAAAATTTATAGAGAACTTGGATTTTCATTCATTCCTTGTTGCACATTTTTCTTCCTACCCCCCCACACGCCCCCCTCCCCCCAGTTTGCTTTTCCCTTTGGCAGAAAAGGTCTTTCATTGTTGCACAATTTTTCCCCCTCTGTTTTCATATTTTGCAGGTGTTAATGTTTATGTAATGTCCTCTCAACATAAATTCTTCTCCCCTCCCTCTCTGGTCTGTTTTGCCTTTTCTCATCTGGAAAGTAATGATCTCTATTTTGTATATTAAGAACTGTTGGCTAACAACAAAAAAAATGGAAGTTCAGAAAGTTTGAGATCATAACCAATGTTACTCAGCTAAGTAGCCGAAAAGGACTCATTTACATTTACCAAAATGTATGCTCTTTAGCCACTGTACTATTCTTCCTTTTACCTAATTAGTAGTAAGTGCATCTAGGAATATAAAGGGAACTCTGGTGTCCTAGTGGTAAGAAACTGCACTGTAATCCCAAAGGTACATGGTTCAAATCCACCAGCTGCTCCGTGGGAGAGTGGGCAGTCTCCTCCAATTGATTTGCTGCCTCTGAAAACCTACTACAGTGTCAGCTATGGGTCAGTTCTAACTTGATGGCGTACAGGATTAAGAAGTCAGAGTTCCTGAATATTGACCTTGAGCTTTTTTCTCTACACACCTTGCTGCAAGCACCTTTATTGCAGACAGAACTCACATATCCTGCTGCTGAATGGCATCTTCTTTTCACTCCTCATAAATAGTGCAAGTAACGTTAAGATTCTAACAGTTGAAGATATGAAAATATCATTTGTTCTGTTGCAGATTGTGAATGCTTTCTGCCAGCAAGCTTCACCAGAGATGAAAGGGAAGGTGCTTATGCGGTTAAAGCACATCACAGAACTGCAGACGATTCTGGAAAGGTATTTGGCAGGTAAGGGCAAGCAAGCCCACTAGCATCGTAAACTCAGTGAGAGCTGTTCCCACTCACCTGGGAGGAGTGCTCAACAAAACTAACAAAAGGGAAAAAGAGTATATTCATTTTACTCCCCTTCTTAGCTCCAAGATATCTTGGTGCTTGGTGCTTAGGAAATTAAAAAAAAAAAAAAAAAAAACCCATTAATCGAGCTGTTGTAAAGTTAGTTTTCTTCTTTGGAAGTCAGGCTTCAGTGACCTTTGCCTTTCTGAACACTGTCACGAGCAAGAAGTAAAGATGAAAGGCATCCTAGCACCTTCTATCCGTGAACTAAAGGAGCAGGTGCCTGAGTCTGGGCAAAGTGGAGCCCTACCTTCCATGTCTTCATCGTAATAATTTTATATAGGACAAACTTCTGTGTGACTAAATATTGCTAATGTCTATTTTAAATATCAGTTACTTTTTTGACCTTCTTAGATAGTTTTAATTATTTAAAAAGGTTTTATGTTAATTATTGTTATTAGATGCCATAGAGTCAACCATTACTCATAAGACACCCTGTGAACAACAGATGTGAACCATGCTTTGTCCTGCGCCACACTCATAGTCTCTGATATACTTCATTGTTACATCATATATCAGTCCCTCTTCTTAAGGTCTTTCTCTTTCTCTAACCCTCCCCCTTTCCTGGAAAGATATCCTTTTCCAAGAACTAGCCTTTCCTGGCAACATACCCAAAGTGTGTGAGATGAAGTATCACCACCCTAGAGCCACCCTGGTCACACTCCTTCCAAGACAGACTTGTTTGTTATTTTGGAAGTTAATGGGATATACAATCTTCTTCTCTAACCTCCACAATTCATGTAGATATTCCCATGATAGGGCAAGGTTCCAATCTCTTGTTCATAAGGTCACTGTGAGTCATAGTTGACTTGACAGCACATAACAACACAACAATATACATTGTCTTTAGCTACTTTACTGTGCCCAGTGCAGGTGTTCAGCCATTCCACGGTAACTAGTTCTAGCCTGTTGGATGATTGCCTTCCACGTGGAGTGGAATCTGGTTGTTGTGTAATGATTTCTGCTGCTTCTTGTTTCAGTCACCCAGGACTATGTTCCTCCTTTTGCGAACTTTGACTTGGAAACTTTAGATACAGTACCTCATACCAATACTGCTATTTCTGCAAAATTCAGAACAATAAGAAAGAAAAGTGAGTATGTTCATATTATTCTTTATCTGCACGTGAGCCATGATGAACTAACCCAAGAGGCTGTATGTGCCTGAGCACCAGTACCTGAAGAAATTATATCTCTAAGCCCTTCTTTCAATGGGTATAAATCAGCAACAATTGAGATTATAAAATTATCTCCTAGGGAAAAAAAAGTTCTAGTGATACCATGGTTAAAGCACTTGGCTGCTGATCTAAAGGTCAGCTGTTTGAGTCTACCAGTTGCTCTCTGGAAGAAAGATGGGCAGTTTAGCACTTTAAAGATTTCAGGTCCTGGAAACTAGATGGGGAAGTTTTCCTCTCTCCTGTAGAGTTGTCATTAGTCACAGTCAGCTAGACTGCTGTGCATTTGGCTTGATTTATCTCTAGAAGGACTTCAGCAGGTTATTTTCCTAAAGATTAGTATTTGGCAACATAGTTATTAATTACTTGAGTCTTTTTCTGGTTTTGAAAAATAAGAAGGAGTAAAACGAAAAGCAGATGGCAGCAAAATGTCCTCCTCTGACACACTTTCAAAGGAAGATATATCGGAATGTGACCCTACGCCATTGAGTAGAAGCCAGCTGGAAAAGGTGGGTCCTTGGGAAGGGACACGAGATCCCTCTATGGTAAATAGAGGGCCAGCATCATTCCCTGCACTTTATAGAGGGAAGAATTAAGTACCACAGAGGCAAGTGAGTTCTCCTAATCCTACTGTGACCCTCTCAGTAGCAAAGTGGGATGTAGGTCCTGAGTCCCTAGTTCCCATTATCATTGCTGTGGACTGTACATAGCTTTCTCAAATTATTTTCTCAGGGTTCTTTCCCCTTTTTTTTGGTCCTTGCAGTACTTCTGGATTCCCTGGTTAGCATTTATAAAAATCATAAATTGCAACATAATTTTGTGTTTACTTCTTTTAGCCTTTTCCCCCCACCAGTCTCAGATGATCAGCTCTTCAGTAAATCTGTTGTTGTTGTCATGTGCCGTTGAGTCAATAAATCCAGACAATGTGAAAAGCTTAGCACAGTTTTCTGGTATTTTTTAAATAATAGTTTCCTTTTCCTATAACTATACTATTTGCATTCATTTTTTTTTTCTCAAATTGCCTAAACCACCTTACATTTATTTCTGTTATTTAGCTTCCATTTGGTCCGTGTTTATTTTTGTTGTCAGTTAACCCCAATTTATACCCATATAATAAGAGGGGGAAATGAAGTAAGATTAATTAAAATTTAAAACTAGATGTGAGGACACTTGTGATACACAAAAGTTTATCTCCAAGGTCTCATAACTGATTAAGGAAAGATTTTAAACCAGATTTTTCTGGCTCCTAAATTACTGTTTTTTCCCCCACTATTCTGTAATACTTGTTCATTCATTTTTAAATAGAAACTAACCAGAAATCTCAATATGTGACATATCTTTCTGAATTAAGTTAGAATGCCCATCTCAGTAATATTAAGGGCTCAAGTTAAAAGGAAATTAATAATGTAATAAAAGTGTGACTTTTTGTGTAAAATGGATGCATCTATGAAATTTGGAATCTTATTAGACAGCAGATTTATATAGAAGACTTATTATTTTGGCTGCTGCTTCTTTACCTCCAGGAAGTCACAAAAAAAGATGAGGACAAGACATCTGTGTCACTACAGAATTACAGGGCTTTTTTCCGAGAGCTGGACATTGAGGTTTTCTCTATTCTGCATTGTGGGCTGGTGACTAAATTCATCTTAGATACTGAGATGCACACTGAAGTAAGTAACAGAGCTGGAGTCTCTGAACTTAATCTTCTCTCAGAAAATTTCTCAGTACTGTTTTTATTTCAAAATGAAAAATAAAACACAATGAGACAATTTTGAAGATGGCTTTAAAGTCCTGTATTGAAAAAATAGTCATCCTGGCTATGTAGATGTGGATAAGCCATGACTTCTTATAATGTGTATGACTTTTTATAATATGTTAAGCATTCTAAAAGGCTACACGTGGCCCTTACCTTTAGGTGACTGATGTCAATAATATTTTCTGTTTATGTGTAGTCAGCCTCCTCAGGATTCTGATTGAGACCTTTTCTGTGTTTGCCACTAAGGTACATAGTGGTAACTTACCAGAATATACAACGTGGTGCTTGCCTTTATAGATCATAATATAAGAGAGGAAATAGATGTAGGCAACAGTACACGTTGTGTTGATAGTCTAAGCCAAATACCAGTAAAACTGTAGAGGTGCCCTGGTGGTGTATTAGTTAGAGCACTTGGCTGCTAACCAGAAGGAGCCATCAGCCTCTCTGAAGGACAAAGTTGTGGCATTCTGCTTCCATAGAGATTACATCCTTGTAAACCTTATGGAGCAGTTCTTCTGTGTCCTTGTGTCACTATGAGTCACAGTCAATTGAATGGCCAGGGTTTGGATTTTTTCCTTTGCTCATTTAGGGGAGTAAAGGACTGACTCACAGAAAAGTGACTCTTGCTATAGGATTTCACTAGAGAATAAAATTTCTCCAGGTAAAATAATTGAGAAATAGCATGGAATTTTACCTATAGTTTAAAGAATATAAACTGCTTTATAAAGACTGTCTTTTTGAAGTCTTTCTGCCTCACCTTATTCTTAGGGTTTCTGTAAGTATATTTTGAGTTAATAGGTTAAAGTGAAAGGCCATTTTTGACCCATTTGACTTCTCTAATTGTATATTTGTACAAGAATCCTTACAAGGGTTGGAAAACATTCAAAGATATTAAATGTGAAGGTATTATTTAATAAACACAGAAAAGTGACATTTCTTTGAATTAATAATTTTTAAATTCTAGGTTCCAGTGAATACCACTATCATTCAAATATATGCACCAACAACCAGAGCCAAGGAAGAGGAGATAGAAGATTTTTACCAACTTTTACAATCGGAG